CTAGACCTATGGGTAAGATGGGGAAGCTCTAGACCTATGGGTAAGATATTTGGATCATCACTGAAAGAACAAGCTCTTCGACACAAGCAGCCCTTCCTTCGTAGGGGGACGGGGCTCAGCCTTAGAGACGGGGTGAGGAGCTCGGAGTGGAGCCATTGATCCTTCACATTGAAAGGAGTCAGTTGATGTGGTTTGGGCATCTGATTAGAAGGACTCCAACACACCTCCGTTTGGAGGTTTTCCAGGCACTGAAAAGATGTCCTGGGACAGACCCAGAACTGAAATGTGTATCTTCTCTGTCCTGGGGATGACTTGGGGTGACCCTAGGAGCACCGCTGGGCTGGGGGATGTGCAGGTTTCTCTCCTGGACCTGTTGCCTCCTCTTCGACCCGAGTACAGAAAAGCGGTAGAAGATGGAGGCGACTCTCTGACTTTCTTATCCCACAGCCACGACCTGGGTCTCATTTCAAAATTCATTTAAAGCTCTTTCAGCTGAAACATAAACCTCACTTCAGGAAAGCCTGGTGAACTATTGATCAAGGCCACTTTGAGAAAGTCTGGCTAACCGGAAGAAGAAATAAACTCATAAAATGAGGGTGACCGGAGACTTTTGCACAGCCCTGACTGTCTCAGGACTGAGTGGTGTATTGATGTCCTTGTAAAAAGCATCAGTCAGTGCACACTGGTCTGACCCTCTCAGCCTCTCCACAGGACTAACAGGCTGTTGATGGGAGATGTTTCAGGGCTCATTAGCCCAGCTGCGCCCACTTCTCCACGGATTTAAAACAAAACGCGCATTTCATCAACAAAAACAAACTTCCGTGAGTTGCACCTGCTCTTTCATCTCACTCCAAACTTGTCCCCTCAGCTTTTGGGCTCGTGTTGCTGGTAAGACACGGTGCTTTGGCTGATGTGAGGCGATAAAAATGGGACAAGAGAGGGGGAGTCGCGTCCTACCTGCTCGTAGCAAGTCTCCCAGGTGAGGTTCAGGAGGCAGGAGGAGAACAGCTCCTCTTCGCTCCTGCCATAGCCGTCCATGTCTGCTGGAGGAGGACAAGGAGGACTTCGACTCTTGTTTTTCTGTCTTTATTTTTGTCTCTGAGTCTTCCCTCGACGAGTATGTCTCTCCCAGCCCGCCTCTGTCCCTCTTGCTCCGTCTCTGGAAGCCGTTACAGCGAGCGGCGGCGGCGAGCGGCGCTCGTGCAGCTTCCCTGGTCACGTGACCGCCTCCAAACAGAGGCGAGATGCGTTCAGGTGCGGTGCGACCCCAAAATGAAATGACGCCTTCAAGGTGAGGTTCAAACAGCGCCCCGACGACAAGGTGAATTAAAGGCCTGGCGTCTCAGTGAAGGAATGCTTATCGCCCGCCGCTTCTCGTGCCACAGTTTCAAGGTTCCAGGTTCTTTATTGTCGTTCGCATCACATGTGGTACATGAGGTGGAACCAAATTGTGTACTCAAGGTCCCAGTTGCCCAAAAATAGGGAGAAAGAAAAGGAATATAAAGTATAAAAAAATCAGTATACAAGGATCTAAGATATAGATTATACACTAATAATGTAAAATAATATGGTGTATTAAACAGCAGCCTGAACTTTTTTTTTGTTTGTTTCCATTTACCCTTTATTTATACAGGTAGTCTCATTGAGTCATGACAACACATTTTCAAGAGAAACCTGTTTCTGGGAGCAGATGGTGGAGGGTTAAGGGCCTTGCTCAGGGGCCCAGAGTGGGGCGAATGAGGGTGTAGACAGTTGTAAGTGTTTCATCTTTTCCACCCACATTTTGATGTTGACGGTACCGGGAGTTGAACCTGCAACTTTCCAATCACAGGCCCATCTTCTCTAGCCTCTGCACCACCTCTCCCCTATGACATGAGTCTGTTGTGAGCAGATGGGTATGAATACAGCAGCTTAAAGGCAAGAAATCAGCAGCATGGATAATCAGCAGCATGGATTCTTGATATTCTTGGTTTCTGGACTCAACTCAGCTTGTGTTGCGAAAAGGTGGAGCTGGAGTTGTTTTGGTTGAAGCTTAGAAAGCGCAAGCTCAGACTGTGTGTCGCAAATGACTCTCAGCTACTACCACACCAAAGCTTAGCAAATGGCTGAATTAGAGCCACTTTTATGTTTACAAAGTTCACCGAGCTGTAGCAGATGTTTTTCTTAGTTCATATCTTGGGTACTGTTTTTCTTTTACAGTTTATAATTTTGTTGGATGTAACTGGGACCCGTGCACAATTTCGTTCCACCACATGTACCACGTGTGATGAGAATGACAAAGAACCTTGAATCCAGTTGTTTTGAATTGAGGTGACTCCAAAAGTCAATCAGTTGTAGCTACACTCCCAATGATTATTTCCTGAGTTTCGTTCAAATCTGGCCAGTTCATGATATATTTTGCTAACAGACAAACAGGGTTGACTCCTACAGTGAAGGCTAAAGTTTTAAGCACATATGTCACACTTTAAGTAGTGCTCTGAGTAAGTGTTGTGAATGACTCTCGGCTACTACCACATCAAACTTAATCGCAATAGCTGTACCAATGGTCAAGTTAAAGTCAGTCTTGTGTTTTCTAGTTGCTTAGCTGTGGCGACCATCTTGAATGCCACTGACTCCAAAGGCTGAACAGGTGAAGACGTACTTACAGTGATTACTTTGTGAGAGTTTCAATAAAATCCATCTGGTGGTTTATGAGATATTATGCTAACACAGCAGACAAAGAAAACAAACACGGGGGACATTCTTGTCCTATAGTGTCCTAAAGGATCTAAAACATGGACAAAGCTGTCATTGACAGACATCAGAGCCATGCAGAGGCTAAATAATCTCCTCCCAAATCAGATTATCTAGCAATGAAATTAATCTTTCTTTTCGTGGAATAAAGAAGTGACAGTAAGCCTTATTTTAATGCCACAGATAAATCTTAAATTAAGACTTGTACCCCACATGTGACACAAACCTTTCTTAAAAAGGAATAAAAATAGAATGCTGAAGGAAAATGTGGAGGGGTTTGTTCATCTTTTCCTCTTAGATGGGTTTGATGGAGCGGTAAGAGCACAGGAGGGCATTTTGCATCTATCATACACAACATCACATCGTCTGCAAAGCTAAAATGTATTTTTCCACATAAGAACATGAAGCACTTGCTGCCTTTTATAAGTTACTGAAAGCTTTACATGAATATTCTTTCATATATTATTTCAATATTCTTGGAAGCATAGTTGCCATGCTTGTTAAAATCACTATTCTCTAGGAGTACATTAAAAATAGTGCCTGTAAACAAACACCTATAAGTTCATTGTTTGTGACCCTTGCAGACAAAATGAGTCAGAGTGAGCGCAGGCTGCAGTGCAAAAGAAGAACAAATATTGATTTTTGTTAGTAATTGGGATTTGCCTTAAAATAAGCTTGTAAAGGCACCATTTAGCATGTCCAGTAACTAAAGTAGCATATAATCTTCCTAATCTACCTTTGAATCAAAGTTTTGTCTTATAACCCATGTAATTTCAATTGAAATTGAAACTTTTTTGCTGCTATCTGCACCAGGAAATCCCATCGTATATGTATTTCAAGTTCACATTCAAAGTTCAAGTATCTTTATTGTCATTCACATCACATGTGGTACATGAGGTGGAACGAAATTATATACTCAAGGTCCCAGTTACACCCAAAAATAGCAAAAATATAATGTATAAAAAGAAACAGCATGCAAGGATCTAAGATATACACTAAAATATTCACTAAACAAATGTTAAATGATGAGCTAAAAGATCTATGATATACACTTAACACTAATAATGTAAAATAATACGGTGTATATTAAACAACAGCCCGCACACGAGTCTGTAGTGAGTAGATGGGTATGAATGAATACAGCAGCATGAGATAATCAGCAACATGAGATCAGCAGCATGGATAATCAGCAGCACAAAGTCATATCAGTTAAAGAGTTTATTTGTTGTAATTGTAAACCTTAGGGACTTCCCTTTTAAACTGTAGGACTGGGATTCCCAATTATATCATTCTAGACTAATAAAACTGTTTTTTTAAAGGCACTCTTGTAAAGCAAACTAGCTTTTTGCTAGCTATGTGGTAAATCACCCAACTTTAACAAACTATCATTTTGAAATGTGTGAGATAGAGAACTCAGAAAAAAATTTTGCTAAATATTGCAAAGTTTCTTATTATGATTCATTTTGCCAGTACGCGTTACGTTTGTGTCTTTTTATGCTCCTTTTATATAGCTATGCTATTTTGAGCTTTTAGCTACCGTTTTGCTACAATTAGCTTTAAGCGTCTGTTTTGGTGTTTCTAGCTTTTTTAGCTACAGTTTTACAAATTTTAGTTTAAAGCCACTGTTTGCTCATTTGAACTTTTAACTATCGCTTTTGCTAAATTTATCTTTAGTTAATGTAGGTTTAGCTGATTTTAGTTTTCAGTTGCAGATTTTAGCTAATTTTGTCTTCTTTTTTGTTTGTTTTAACCTTAACAGTTCCATTTAATTCAAGTTTTGTCATCATAAAAGTGATATAGAACTCCGCATTTATTCAGTTTTTCTAGTTACATCTTTTCAACATCAATAACAAAGTTTTCTTCTTCTTCTTTCGGCTGCTCCATTCCTCAGGTGTCGCCACAGCCAACTAACTTGCACGAAGACTTGGCGATTGTTTTTTTGCCGGATGCTCTTCTTGACCAAACCACACACCACCGAGCTACCACAGCCCTCTGTGTGGAGCAGAGAGCTGCTATCTAGGGCGCCCGAGGGAGCAGATGGTGGGGGTTAAGGGCCTTGCTCAAGGGCCCAGAGTGGTGCAAATGAGAGTGGAGGCAGGTGTGGGTGCTTCACCTTTCCCACCCAGATTTTGATGTTCTCAGTCCGGGGGATCAAACCTGTGACCTTCCGATGATAAGCTCGCCTTCTCTAACCTGTGCACCACCACCCCCACAAACATCTAGAACATAGAGAGGTTTATAAATATTAAAATTTTGTTATGTGCCAAAAAAGAAACAAAACGGCTTCAGAATTTCCCCAAGAGTTTTCTTGATTTCCTTAAAATCGGCATTGGCAATTGTTTTGGGGATGGTCGGTTGATTGATGGATGGTTGGTTTTTGAGATGTTTTGAGGGGGTGATCTATAAAAGGATTCCGTTATTTCAAACGGTTCAGCCTGTTTTTACAAAGAACTTTTTAATCCAGCTGGAGAAGTAAGTGAAGTAGACCGCACCCCAAACAAGACCGTTAAGGCATTAGGAGCGATAGCCTCCACCAGTTCATCAGATAACGTCATTAAAAGAAAATCAGGATACATTTTTAGCATACAGTGGGCTTCAAATCTAAATAAAGTGTGGTACAAACAGGATAAATTCTCCAGTAAGAATAAAACCAGCCCTCGTTAGAATTATTTATCTCCATGCAGCAGTGCTGAGCACAGAGATCCTTCATTTTCTACAAACTGTCCAACACAAGTGCTGCTAACAGACCTCATTTGGAAAGCTGTCTGTTACCACACTATTTATCTTGATATCAGAGCCGTGCAGTTAGAAGAGCCTTCTCTGCGCATCAGTCCTCTCCGCTGCCCTTCTTGTTTGATCAAAAGTGTTTGCCGTGGAAGATCTGCACCCTTTTGAAGTGCGGTCAGTCGGCACCAGGCTGTATCTTTGCTTTTCCTGCAGAGAATTCCTCAAAATAGTGTGTTACAATAAAAAAATATATAAAAAAAACAGACCAGGAATGTTTCTCATTGTGACCGATCACATTTCATCATTTCTTTTCTAAATAAGGTGTCATCTGCGTAAATTGTGATAAAACACATAACATTTCTGCACACTTGAAAGCCACAAAATAAAAGGTTTAGCCAGATTTGGATCTTTAGATGACAGCTGCGGTGATTCTTATGTGTCATAATATAACGACATGTATTATGAGGGGATGGATTGTGACAAAGAAACTTAGCAGCTTTAAAGAAAACAGGGGATTCGTGGGGGGGGGGGGGGGGGTGTGTGTGAAAGATTCAAGCAAAACGAAGCGTGGTTTGTTCCTTCGCCTTATCCGTCGCCATCAAACATAATCTTCCTGTTGCTGTAGATTAATTTAAAGATTACGGAGCTCCATACGTTTGCAAAGAACAGCTGCGTTGACTCCTTTTGCTTTTACC